TACCATATATTTGTCTTAGGGGTACAGAATTGATCATGTCGATGAAAGGTGTCTTCTTTTCCACCTGGGTCTTCCGGTACCACCACTGCAGGTACCTGAGGAGCAAGAGGCAATGTGAGTGGAAGGGGGCAGGTAGGCAGTTGCACAGGCTGTAGTCACCTGCCTCTCTGTGACCTCCCATAAAATGTCCCAAGGACATTTGCTTTCAAACCTCTCTTCCTCTTGATTTCTCTACAGTTCAAGGTCCCTTCATCTTCCTAGTCACCCCAGCTGAAGTATAGGGCTGCCTTTGTTTCTCTCCTTTGTTCTCCTTAGAAGGGGCTTTCTGATCTCTCCTTACCTCTCTAGCTCCACCACTGCTTTACTTCCAACAGCAGGAGCTTCTGTCTGAGGTGTCGAAAGGGCCATTTATGGTTTCCTGGCCTATAGCCTCCACTCCCAACCCCCTACCTCTAAAACAGGCATAGGCTGCTTGGGATAACTTTCTTCTTTTTGTTATTTATTTATTTGTTTGTTTTGAGACAGAGTTTTGTTCTTTGTTGCCCAGGCTGGAGTGCAGTTGTGCGGTCTCAGCTCACTGCAACTTCCATCTTCCAGGTTTAAGCAATTCTCCTTTCTCCTGCCTCAGTCTCCCAAGTAGCTGGGATTACAGGTGCCCACCACAACACCTGGCAAATTTTTTTTTTTGAGATGGAGTTTCGCTCTTGTTGAGGCTGGAGTACAATGGCGTGATCTTGGTTCACTGCAACCTCTGCCTCCTGGGTGCAAGTGATTCTCCTGCCTCAGCCTTCCGAGTAGCTGGGATTACAGCCCTGCACCACCATGCCAGCACATTTTGTATTTTTAGTAGAGACAGCGTTTCTCCATGTTGGTCAGGCTGGTCTTGAACTCCCTACCTCAGGTGATCTGCCTGCCTTGGCCTCCCAAAGTGCTAGGATTAGAGGCGTGAGCTACTGCGCCCAGTCTAGCTTTCTTCTTTTTAAAATGATTATTTTTCTTTCTAATTATGAAAGGTGAATGGGGGAAAAAATCATCTCACCCACAGACAGTGTTTTTATATTTATTTCTGGATATTTCAAGTCTTTTTTTTTCAGTTCAGCATTTAAACTGTGAGGCTTTCTGATTTTACTGTCTTATAATATCTCAGTAAAGCCTTCAAAAAAATCCCAACATTTTCCTGGGCTTGCTACAGACCTATATCCAAGAGGCAAAGGATTCTGTTTTTAAGGCTCTGACATCTGTCCAGCCTATCTTCTAATCTTATTTCCTACAAATTCTCATTCCAGATGGGTCCTCCCTAAGTAGCCCCTGCCCTGCCAGACTCTTTCCCATTTCCACTCTCCTCCCTACTTAACCACGTTATGCCCGCTGTTGTTCAGTCACACCACTTTTTTTTTTTTTTTGAGACACAGTCTCCTTCTATCGCCAGGCTGGAGTGCAGTGGTGTGATCTCGGCTCACTGCAACTTCTGTCTCCCAGGTTCAAGCGATTCTCCTGCCTCAGCCTCCCGAGTAACTGGGACTACAGGCGCGTGCCACCTCGCCTGGCTAATTTTTTTGTATTTTTAGAAAAGACGGGGTTTCACTGTGTTAGCCAGGATGGTCTCAATCTCCTGACCTCGTTATCCACCCGCACCAGCCTCCCAAAGTGCTGGGATTACAGGTGTGAGCTACTGCGCTCAGCCAGTCACACCACTTTTAACCAAGTAATTGGGTAAGTAAGCCTTTGAGTACTGGTTTCCTCATCTACACAATGGGGTTACCACCTGCTCCAGCTATCTCATGGAATGGTTGAATGATCAAATGACATAATAGATAAGAAAGCCATATAGTACTGGTATGATTATTATTTATATATACAAATTTATCTCAATTCCTAATCAGACGTTGTCTTGCTATTTCAATGTTCCTCATGTGGGGCCGACATATTTTTAAATTACTTGGGGAACAGGACAATGACAAAGGCTAGTTGAATATTACCGTCAGGTCTAAGCACCTGGCAGGACACATGGTCTGCAGTCAATACATATTTGTCAAATTTACAAATGAATGAACATACAAACAATGGAGCACAAGAGAGATAACAGACAGACTGGAGCAGAGGAGGGGAAATGTCATTAAGGAATAGGGATAGCAGTACGTGGATGGTTCATATCAGTAATCCCAGCACTTTGGGAGGCTGAGGTTGGTGGGTCACCTGAGGTCAGGAGTTCAAGACCAGCCTGGCCAACACGGTGAAACCCCCATCTCTACTAAAAATGCAAAAAAAATTAGCCTGGCATGGTGGCGGGCACCTGTAATCCCAGCTACTCGGGAGGCTGAGGCAGGAGAATTGCTTGAACCCAGGAGACAGAGGTTGCAGTGAGCTGAGGTGTCACCATTGCACTCCAGCTTGGGTGACAAGAGCGAGACTGTCTCAAAAACAAAACAAAAAAAAAGAATAGGGATAGCACATTCTAGGGGTGGAAAGAGAAGGAGGGAAGACAAAGGATGGGATGACAGCAGGGCAGAGAATCCTCTCTGTCAGGTTGGAGAAAAATGGACTTTGAAACTAGAGGCCAGAAAGGACTGGTAGAGGGAGGGTGCGGCCCAGGATTAGGGCAACCAGGGAGAGTTACTGCAATCTATGAGGATAGGCAGAACAAAGGACTATCTGGCACAGAACATGCACTCAATAAATAATTACTGAATGAGTGGACTCTGGCTGGAAGGGAGAACAATTGAAATTGAGCTCTTACCAAAGTAAGGCCCAGAGAACTCTGTCTTGCTGGAGCTCCTGGTCAGAGTGCCCCAGTTCAGCTCCGGCATAGGAGCTCTCTCACTCCCTGATCATTCCTAACCTATTTGGCCTTCTCCACAATTTCAACCCCAACTCAAGAGTTATCACTTAGAATTCTTCCTTGTCTCACCTGTGCTTTCTCCTTACAGGAACTCATCTCATTCCCAAAGCCCTGTATCAGTGACCCCCACTCTATCCTGGAATGGGAAGCCAGGGTCCGGGGGTTGAGCACAGCTTCAGGCCTCTATGACTCAGTTCATATTTAGGGGCTAAGAGGCTAGGATGCCCATCTTTTCTTGATTTCATTGTCCCCACCACATGCAACTCAGTGCACTTCTCTCTGTACTCTGCATCCTATTTTGACCCCAAAGCTTTTGGGGTCAAAGTTGGACTGAAATGATTTCAGAAGCAGCCTGGAGGGATGATCTTCTGTGCTACAGGCCACCCACAGGCACCAACACAGGAGCCAGGTGTGCAGGCAGCACCAGGCCCTTCCCACTCCCCAGGGCGGTAACTGACCTCCCCAGCACAGCCCCACAGCACTGACTGGGGAAAGGAAGGGTTTCCTACTCTAGAAGCTGTCAGGGCAGGGTTTCCCAAGCTTTATGCCTCCCTCCCTAGTTCCGTGTTTATTGTGTAGACTGAGTCAGGATGACCTCAGGGTGATGCTTTCTGTCCTCATCCACCTGATCCTGTTAATGGCTCCTCATCACTAGTCTTTGAACTCAGTGGAATCTAGAGGGGTTCTACATCTATGGCAATGCCTCTCTGATAAATGACTTTTAATATCAAGAGCTCTCTATCCCAGAATAGAGTGACAGCACTTTCTCATCACTTCTTAGAGTTGAGGGCAGGGAGGCTCTCACCTACTCCCTGGAGCTAAAGCTTGAGGAAAGCAGCAGTCATGTTGGGACTAATGAGGTACAGAGAATGCCCCAGCTGCTCACGGGAAATAAGGGTTTGAGACCGCCCCCCCACTGCCCCTAAATAAAACAACATTGTGTTAGTATTACAGCAGCCAGACTATCCTTTGCTACTTTGCCACAAAGTATAGCTAATCCCAGAGGGAAGTCATTGGAACCAGTATGTGAGAAGGAGCCTGAATGGGAAAGGCTGACTATGACCAAATGTTCCTACCCTTTCCTTCTAAAAAGACAAAATACTGGTAGGATGGGGGTTGCAAAGAGATGTGACCTGGTCTCACTATCCAAAACCACAGTCCTAAAATATGCCAGGGATAGGGGCCACTTCACTGGGACAAGAAGCCCAACTGCTTTCCCACCTCTGCTATAAGTCTTGAGCTGGAACAAAGTGAAGCCAAAGGCATTCTAGGCAATGGAGTCTACTCACCTCAAGCCCATGCCTATATGCTTTATCATGTTGCTTAGGGAGACGTTATTAGCTTGAAAGGGTTTCCTCTTTTCTGTAAACTCATGAGCCAGGCAGATGCGCCAGCCAAAGGGAGGCACCTGGTAGCCCATAGCTTTACCCTCATAGGAAGCCATCAGCTGTCCAGAGTCCTCCGGATTGCAGCAGCGCGTCTCTTTTTGGGGTCGGTTGTCTTCGGGACTCTTGCAGTCTGTAACCTGCACATCCTTGGTGCTGCCAGTCTCTTTAGGGCAGTAAACCTGTGGATCCTCTTTAGCACAGCTGATCTGCTCCGAGGCTGGGACGCCGGTTCCCATGTTTCCTGGATCCTGGGTTCCCATGACCTGGATGGCCCCAGGTCCCGAGCCCTCGGATACTAAGTATTTCGCCAGCCTATTCCAGATGCGGGCGCCGGAGCTTAGGTATGGTCGCGGAGCGCCGGGCGCTGGGGAATGCTTAGATGAGCTGGGATTTCTGTGGAGCCGGGCAGCTCTTGCTTCAGCGGCGGCAGCGACAGCAATGAAGCCGCCTTGGACTCGCCTTCGGTAGTCTCTGTACGTCCTGGACGGGAAGGGTCGGGCCTCGTCGTCATTGATTAGCTCGCCAGGTCGAAGGGCCACTGGGCCTGCGGAGAGGGGAGGAGCCGTGGGGCCAGCCCACCAGGCACCGCCCCCGTGACCGGCCCGCAAGGCACCGCCCCCGGGACCTCTCGGCGGCCACGGCCGGGCCCCTGGGTCACAGCACCGGGTCCCGCCGGCCAGCTCCGGGGGAGCGCCCGCGCCCAGGTGCCAGCCCGTGGGAAGGTGACCCTGGGCACTGGGACGACCCGAGCCCTTTCCGGTTTGGCTGGCCGGGCGCTTCCGGCCGGAAGGGGCTCCGCGGAGGGGTGGGGGACCGAAGGGAAGTCCCGCCTCTGCCGCCCCCGGGACGCAGCCGACTGCACCGCCGCCGCCGCCAAGCACCTGGCCGGGTCCCGGAGGGTCGGGCAGGTGAGGCCTTGGGGTGCCGGTCTCTAGTGTCGACCATGCGAGGTGGCGGGCGGCCGTGATCTTGGGCTGGGACGTGGAATCTTGAGGGAACGGGGGGCGGAGGCCAGCCTGCGAGCTCCGGAGGTTGCCCAGGGAGAAGAACTCGACGCACAGGGGCGGGGGTCTAGGGCCCAGAGCGACGCCCTCCTGCTGGTCAGGACTGAGTCTGCAGCCCACTCCTTCCCACCTGCCTACCCCTCTTATATCCAGGCGTTCCCTCGGGCACCACGGTGCTGATCACCCCTGTCCTTAGTCCTTAGCCCTCAGCCCTAGGTGCTCTCCGATACGCCCCTCTCGGTCACGGTGCTGACCTCCGCCCTGCCTTGTTTCCTTCTAGATCTGATTCCGGAGCTGTCATGATTGAAGTGGTAGCAGAGCTGAGCCGGGGTCCTGTATTTTTGGCTGGGGAGGCGCTGGAGTGTGTGGTGACCGTCACCAACCCCCTTCCCCCCACGGCCACTTCTGCATCCAGGTGAGGATGCTGACCCTGAAAGTGTTGGCGCTTTTGGGAAGATGCCAGATCTGATGCTTAGGTAGAGTTCAGGTTGTCCTGTAGCGATGCCACCACCTCTTGCTTATTGTGCTCTCATTGTTGGAGAGGGATCTTTAACAGAAGATGTGGATGACATAGCTGTGTACTTTCCTTCCCCACCCCCATTCCCCTTTTTACCCACAGTCTGCTACTCTTTAGTTAATGGTTTCTCTTTGGGGTTCTGGATTTCCTGATCACTAGGACAGCCATCTAACCTTGTTGGTTAAGACAGTGTGATAGGGAGCTTGGGAAAGCATTTGTGAGGCCAGGAACTACCTCTGATGCCTCTTTTTCCTCTTCCCACAGTGAGGCCCTGGCCTGGGCCAGTGCTCAAATCCACTGTCAGTTCCATGCCAGTGAGAGTCGAGTAGCACTGCCTCCCCCTGACTCTAGTCAGCCAGATGTCCAGCCTGACAGCCAGACTGTCTTTCTGCCGCACCGAGGTTAGAGAGGGGCATTTGCCTGGGAGAGGGGGGCACAGGGTGTGTGTGGAAGCATTGTCACCCATGGGTGAAGTTGTTAATTGCTGCTTTTTTTTTTTTTTTTTTTTTTGAGATGGAGTTTTGCTCTGTTGCTAGGCTGGAGTGCAGTTGCGTGATCTTGGCTCACTGCAACCTCTGCCACCCGGGTTCAAGAAATTCTCCTGCCTCAGCCTCCCAAGTAGCTGGAATTACAGGCAGGCACCACCGTGCCCTGCTTATTTTTATAGTTTTTAGTAGAGACGGGGTTTCACCATCTTGGCCAGGGTGGTCTTGAACTCCTGACCTCATGATCCACCCACCTCAGCCTTCCAAAGTGCTGGAATTACAGGCATGAACCACCACACCCATCAATTGCTGTTGTTCTTATAGTCCCTGTCATGCTGGGGATATGGGAGAGTGTGACTACTACTTTGGGGGTAGAAGACCATTCCCATTTCACAGCAGGAAAAGAGGGCCTAGCAGCCTTTCACTGTCTCCACTTGCCGCGCTCATCTTGTTCAGTAGTGGACAATGGGTCATTAAATTACAGTCATTCTTACCTTTTTTCAGGTGAGAGAGGTCAGTGTATTCTTTCTACTCCACCAAAAATTCTATTCTGTGACCTGAGGCTAGATCCTGGAGAGTCCAAATCATGTGAGTGATTGTCCCCATCCCTGACTTGCCCTCTAAGTCTCCTGGAGGGAGGACTCCTCTGGTGCCTCTGGCTGCCCTGACAACTACTTCCCAACCAGACTCCTACAGTGAAGTGCTGCCTATAGAGGGACCACCCTCCTTTCGGGGTCAGTCAGTCAAGTACGTCTACAAACTGACCATTGGCTGCCAGCGTGTCAACTCCCCCATCACTTTACTCAGAGTCCCTCTGAGGGTTCTTGTGCTGACTGGTAAGCAAGGGTTCCCGGAGGAAAGGGCTGGGGAAGGGTCATGCCAAAGCAGAAATTGTCTTAGAGGGCTTGCAGGAGGGGCTGCAGGGAAACTCCTGGTCTCAGTGACAGTGCTAGGGAGTTGGGAAGGGAGGGAGGGTTCTGGAGATAGAGATGTACACCTCCGCCCTGACGCCCCTTACCTTCAGCCATCTCAGGTTGAAATCCAAAACCCTAACCTCTGCTCTCATTTCTGTTCCCTCTCAGCATTTCCTCTCCACTCATTCTTTCTCTAGGCCTTCAGGATGTTCGATTTCCCCAGGATGAGGCTGTTGCCCCATCTAGTCCATTCTTGGAGGAGGATGAAGGTGGGAAGAAGGATTCATGGCTAGCCGAGCTGGCTGGGGAGCGCCTAATGGCTGCCACATCCTGCCGCAGCCTCCGTGAGAATTCTTTCAGAATTGTCCCACCCCATCCTTCCCCTCATTACATTCCCATCTCAGAGACGATCTCCTAACCACCACACACTTCTGTGGATCCATTGATACCTCACATCTCCAATTATAAAGAAAAACCTCACCTTTTGGCCTCTGGTGCCCCATTCTGGATGTTCCCCAGTGTGTAGTCTCCAGGCTTATAGTGTCCTATTCTCCCCAGATCTATACAATATCAGTGATGGCCGAGGGAAAGTTGGGACATTTGGCATCTTCAAATCTGTGTACAGACTTGGTGAAGACGTGGTGGGGACCTTAAACTTAGGGGAAGGAACGGTAGCTTGTTTGCAGGTAAGAAGGGAACAGAGCTGGGGTGCTGGGGCTGAAGGGCTAGGGTGGAACACTTGTATAAAGAGGGGTAGCATGTAGAAGGGGATAGTGGGATCATACAGAGTCCCTTGTAAAACAGCTTGATGTTGGGCTATCATCTCATCTACAGTCAGCACTTCCTGTTAGCACACACCTCTCTCTTGCTTCCAGTTTTCAGTAAGCTTACAGACTGAGGAGCGTGTACAGCCTGAGTACCAGCGGCGACGTGGGGCAGGGGGTGTCCCCTCTGTGTCACATGTGACTCATGCCCGGCACCAGGAATCCTGCCTACATACAACCAGAACCAGCTTCTCCCTCCCAATCCCTCTCAGCTCCACCCCAGGCTTCTGCACAGCCATTGGTGAGACCCTGACTGTTACTGAAGAAGGGAGAGGGGGACAGTAAAATGCTGTGCTTAGGGAGGGTATAATGAATCCTGATTCCTTATACATACTCCCAGACATACCTACGTCCAGCCTCTGACCCTGAACACTTTCTCAGACCTTCAACCTCTACCTGTTTCTTAGGTGCACTGACCCCTAAACTCCTAATGACTTGGTAGAACTCCTTCCCCATGCTTACCTACCAGGACCCTGCGATACACTGATTTTTGATTACTTCATCCTACCTAGACCTGACTGCCTCACTCTGGGGTTATTAGGTACTTAATACTGCTATCTGCAGCTCACTCCTATGGTTAATAATACCCGATTGCTTCAGAAAAATGCTTAATCACAGCTTCCTGCTCTGTGACTTTTCCCTGTCTTCCTGAGTACAGGTTTTTTTTTTCTCACTTGTATCCGTATCCTGTCATTGGTTTTTACTCTTGCTGGCTTCTAATGCTTCTACCTTAATCTTTTTCTTCCATAGTGTCCTTGAAGTGGAGATTGCATTTTGAATTTGTAACGTCCCGAGAACCAGGATTGGTACTTCTTCCCCCTGTGGAACAGCCTGAACCTACCACCTGGACAGGTCCTGAGCAAGTACCTGTAGACACCTTCAGCTGGGACCTCCCCATCAAGGTGCTGCCAACCAGCCCCACCCTGGCCTCATATGCTGCCCCAGGCCCCAGCACAAGCACCATAACCATCTGAAACTGGCCCACCCTGGTGCTAGTTCCTTCCGGATACTGAGAACTCAGCACCTGAACTCTAGTGGGACCCACTTTTTCCACCTGAGGTCTAATGGAGTGGACAATGAGAGTCAGCCTTTCAGCCATAGCATTAATTTATTTATTTGGAAGACATTGGCAGCTGCTAGTGGTTTCCCTGGAAGTGGCAGCAGCAGTGAGCAGTCAGCAGATGGGTGATCAGTTGAGTTTAGCTGGAGTGGGGAGCAGGAGCCCCAGGAACAGGGGTGTTGGCTGAGCCCCACTCTGGGTCAGGCCCTCCCCCTTTGCAGGGTAGCCGAGGGTCAGATTTTTGCACCAACGAGAACTGGCAGGTTCCTGCCTCCTGACGTACCTCACACCCAGCCGGGAAGTCGATGGGATGCTGGGACCTGAGGAACCAAGGTTGGGGGAAGAAGTCAGCACAGTGAAAGGCTGCCTTTATCCCTGCCCATGTTCCCTCTCTCACAGCTTTCCCCGCAGAGTCTCCTTGAGGGGCCCCTTGGTCCTCCTAACTAAGCTCTCACCTACCATATGTAGGCTTTTTTGGTTATATAACAGGAGTGTTTTTTTTTTTTTCTCCAGGTCCACCCCAACCTCCCCTGATTTATAGCCTGAAGCCTTATCTTTCACACTAGTGTTGGTCCCTTCAGGGTCATCCCATCTCGTACTGCTCTTCTGTTCATTCTTACATCACAGCAATCCAGTCACCCCCTGATCATCCCTCAGTCACTCAAATCAGAGTCATTCTCTGGCCATCTTTAGTCACTCACGTGTCACAGCAGCCCACACCGACAGGATGCAGACAGGTGCAATGGAAACAATCCTTGCGGAGCCAAGACTCACCCAGGGTGAAATATTTCCCCTCATAGTGACAGGGGGCTAGGGAAGAAAGGGAAATGTTAGTGGGTGTAGGAGTGCTGATGAGAGGCAGAGTCTCTTCGGGTCTTGAGTGGAGAAAATAAGTATGTACTATCCCCATGTTTAGTTTTTCTTTCCTGTTTCACAGCTGGAGGGAGCCTGGGTATTCTGACACAGGATCATCTCTAAGGCCCTGTCCTCCCAGTGCCCTCTCTGCTCCTCCTCCTTTCCTAACACCTCACCCCACTTTACCTTGAGCTTGGAAGTAACACTTGCTGTAGACTCCCGGGTGCAGGAGAAGTAGAGACATCACCAAGCAGATGATTCCCCAGCCTCCTAGGATCCCTTTGGCCTGTCCAGCCCAGAGCATCCTCGGGGCCATTGCTGCTGCACAGCCCTCTCGGACCTCAGCCTCTGCTCAGCTACTCTAGTCTTGACTCCTTGACTTTGCTTTATGTTGCTCCTTGAGTTTTAGTTTCTCTCTTTCTTTCCCGGGCTCCTGTCTCACACTATCTCCCTGCCCTCTACTCTCACAGGCTGGGGATGTTTATAAAGTGAGGACCCTGGCCCCCTGCTGAGCAGAGCTGGAAAAGCTGTAACTCTGTTTCCTGAGGTGAGGGCATGAAAACAAGAGGTCTAGCTTTAACAAGCTGTGAGAGCTGATTCATGCCCCAGCACAGCTAGAGGGAGGGAGGGAGGTGGCTATGGAGGGGGCACTGGATTGGGCACTTCCCTAGCAAGGAGGTAGGAGGGGGTGAGGGCCCCCAGGTGGTCTCCAGATCTCTTCCCTGACCTGGAGAGAAGGAAGCATTCCACTTTCCCCCTTTCTCCCCCACTGCCACCACCAGGAGTGTGTATGCTGGGATCCCTGCCTGGACCGGAGGGAGGCATTTCCTGGGGTTGGTTAATCCTGTGCCCCAGCCAAACCCAGGAGCTGCAATAGGGTGCGACGGCCAGAGGCTCCAGGAGAGTGAGCAGGCACCTGGAGTGGAGACTGTGTTTCCCTTAGACCCTAGGGCAGGGTTTCCCTAATGTATCCAAGAAATAGGGCTGCCCCTCAGAGATGATAGAGGTCTCTTTTCCTCAGGCATTCCAGAGGAACTGTCCATTGCTTATCACCCTCAAACATACAGCAGATGCGGGATCATCCCACACCTGGGGATGGTTCTTTCCCCCTTTCAAAGAGGAGCATCTCCAAGTGCCCTGATGGGAGGAATCACTTCAGTTTCACAGCGGTGTTCTTTCTTTCCTTCCATATGTAATGGAGTGAGGTTTTTAGGAATTTGTCATTTAGCATCTCCTTTGAGTTTCCCACAGGTTCTGGAGGATCTCGGGATGGATGATTGAGAGCTTAGGCTGTAGAGATGGTCTCCTTGGATTCAGAACCTGACTCCACTTAGCTGTGTGACCTGGCCAGATTACTTCACCTTGCTGAGCCTGTTTGCTCATCTATAAATTGTGGGTAGTATTGCCAACTCATCAGGCTGTTATGAGGATTAAGTAAGATAATGTGTGCAGTGCTCATCACCATCTCTGGTGCGTAAGCATCAGAAAATAGCATTTGCTCTGATTGGTACTAAAGCTCAGAGGCAGATGGGTGACATTCATTTCTTTGAATGACAGTCAGCAGTTTGTGCGTAGCTGAGGGCTTCTGTTGGGGATGGCTCCCTCCTGGCATAGGCCTTTGCCCCTTTCACAGTCATGCTCCATGTCAACAGTCCCCAACCGTTTTGGTACCGGGACTGGTTTTGTGGAAGACAAGTTTTCCACCAGCGGATGGAGGGGGATATTAGCGTAGGTGGCCGGGGTAGGGGGGAAGGGGGTAGGAGATGAGTTTGGGTTGAAACTCTTCTACCTAAGATTATCAGGCATTAGATTCTCATATGGAGCATACAACCTAGATCCTTTAGATGTGGAGTTCCCAGCAGGGTTTGCACTCCTGTGAGAATCTTGTGCTGCTGCTCAGGAGGAGGAGCTCAGGCGGTAATGCTCACTCATCCACTGCCCACCTCCTACTTTGCTCCTGTTTCCTAATAGGCCACGGACTAGTACTGGCCTGTGGCCTGGGGGATGGGGACCCCTGCTCTATGTCACCTTTTCCACGTCTTTCAAAAGCAGGTACCTCCAGGGGCATTTTGGTTTTGGCCCTTGTGTTGACTTCTGAATGTCTGGTTTGAGAAACTGTTGCCAATAAGCCTGCTTTCTCCAGATCTGCACCCTCGCCTCTACCCTGGGACAAGCTGTCCTTTTCTTATCAGCCTGCCAGATAACTTTAAGTCTCCTGTTTTTCCTCATTGGGATTCAGATCCATTTCTCCCCGTCTCTGCTCATGTGAACTCTCCAGTTCTTTCTTGCCACTCTCCTGCTAGCCATCTTGGTGGCACTAAAGGTCCTGGTCAGACTGGATTTCTTTCATTTTTCTACACTTCAAAGACCCATGTTCCAGGTATTCCCCACAGGGAGAGTCTTTTTGGCATTTATTTTGTTTTTCTAAGTTTTCAGTTCCATTTACTCCCAAGACTCACTTCCTGCCACCTAGTGCATCAGATACAACTACTTCTGGCCGACTTTTCATGGGGGCCACCCTGCCTGTCACCTCTTCATTGTTCAGAAATGACTGTCAGTGTACCTCCATCTCCCTTGCTGTCCTCTTCCAAGAAGACAGCTGAGGTGGATGGAGATGTAGAATGGACCTCATGTTCACCCTAGTCGGGTCTGATACCCTTTCCATTTCAGAAGAGTGCCAAGAAAAAAACTCACAGTTGAAGCAGGGTGCTCTGAGGTTGGCTGCGGCATGGGGGGTACGACATGGGCCTGCTGTCTGGACTGGAGCAGGTGGATTCAAAGGCCTGTCTAGTAGGAGGGCCCAAAGGTCTTGTCAGTGGCCAGTAGCTCTGTTGCCTTTCCCGGAGGGGGTACAGCGAACACCCTGGAAGGCTGGGCCCTGGACCACCTTCTGCTCCTGCAAGCTGGAGCCAGCCCGATAGGGGGCGGGCATGAGTAGGAAGCTGGGGAGCTGGAGAGCTTGAAGGTGGGGGGATGATGCCAAAGGGAAAGAGAGCCCCAATGGGGATTGGTGCATGTGTGGTAATGGGGACCGAAGTGAGGGTTCATCGCCTATGACAAAGATGAGGTAGGTATATAGGGGCTTCTGGAAAGCTAAAGGCTGGGCTGAGCCAAGAGTCTTCTTCCAGAAGTTGAGGGGGGCAGTGCAGAGGTGTGGGTTGAGCCCGCATGCGTGCCTGCGGAGAAGGGGTGAGTGGTGAGGATCCGGCCTGCTGGGTCCTGGGGGCGTGGTGGCTGGCTCGCAGGGCCTGGAGGGGGCGGCTGGCTCGCGCTGCACGCAGGGGGACAAGGAAAACATCCGCCGGAGGCCCAGCCGGGCAGAGCTCCAGCCTCGGGGCAGGTGCACGGCGGCGAGGAAGTGAGCGCATTCCGGCCCCCCCCCCACTTCAGCCGCCGGGCCTCTGGTGAGTCACCACCGACCCCCGCCGCTGGAGGGAGAGCTGAGCTGCGGGCCAGAGCCCAAGAGGGTCGGTTAAGGAGCCTGGAAGGTTTCTGGGAGCAAAGGGTCACTGAGTGGGCTTCTGTCCTGGTGTCGCTACGGGCGCGAAATGGACACTGAACAGTCTGACTGAATTGAGGCAGGTGGGGAATGAGCCCCAAGATAACAGCGGGCTGAGAGCTGACCCCAGGGCAAAGAGGGGCCCTGGTGAGGTGAAAACTGGGAGTCAGCGCAGGTGGCAAGGCTTAGAAAGGGAGGGGAGCCGGGCTGATTGGGGTGACAGGAAGAAAGTGCGCCAAGTTAGGCCTGGGAGAACTGAGGGACCTGAGCAGAGACGAGGGAGAACAACATCAGATGGGAAGGCAGAAATGGCCAAACCCCAGGCATCAGGTCTGGCCAGAGGCTGGGGTAGACAGTGAAGGGTAGGTTTTAGGGAGTAGGGGGAGTTAAGATTATTTGGGTACATTTTGGGATTTGGTCTCACCGGTAGAAGGGAACCTGCTGGTCTCAGGAAGAGTAACGATGGCTTCAAAGCAAGGTTGTCTGTGTCTTGGATTACTGTCTGCTATTCAGCCTTTGCCAAAAAATTTGGCACTGATCTGCACATTTTTGTAGTCATTTAAAATTATATGACTATCAAACAAGTAATTTTGATGGATTTTTTAATTTAAAAAATTAAAATAGAAAATTTGCATAGTTTAATTCGGTATTTGACTTAAAACCCAAAGTGAGGCTCTCAGATTGGTAATATGGTGTCAAGCCTTTTGTTTGGCTTTTGTGCCATTTTCCCCTCACTGACTTGTTTGAATTCTTTGTGGCAGATGCTTCAGTTTTTCTGTGTCAGTAGTGTTGTTGCATTTCTACTTTTCCTGTCCCTCATTTTACTGTCTTTGTTTTTAACCTTTTTCTGTGTAGCCCTCTAAACTCCCCTATATATTTTGAACCAAGAAGAACATTTATTGGAATGGGACTACAGTATGCAAAGACAAATAACTCACAGTTTTGCTGTATATGTTACGCTACTGTCTTCTTTGGATGTATATGTAACTATAGTTTCTGTATTTATCCTGTGGCTGATAGAAAAAGTTAAAGCTGTTTAATTCACCATAGTATTTGTACAACAGCAGTTTATTAGGCTGACTTCTCTTCTAAAATCAACACTATAATGGCATTTTGTACTTGTCCCAGAGATACTAATTCTGTCATGATTCTTATGATCTGTGTTATGTTGGGCCAAAGGTGATTACAAGGATTAGGATCTTTATAATTTATTTTAAAGATCTTTAAATTCTGTGTTGCCTTTGGTCCCAAACAAGCAAATCTGGATCTTGTTAATGAAAGAAAGAAAGAGAGAAAGAGAGAGAGAGAGAGAGAGAGAGAGAGAGAGAGAGAGAGAGAGAGAGAGGAGAGGAGAGAAGAGAGAGAGAGAGAGAAAGAAAGAAAAGAAAAGAAAAAGAAAGAAACTGTCTTACTTTGGGCACTGTTGCTTTCTCCCATGCTGTTTCAACCCCAGCCCTACCCTATTCCCAGGGTCCTTTGCCTTCATTCCTTCTTTGCTCTGCTGGGCATCTTTGGAGGAAAACTTCACACTGACTTCCTCTACTATAAATTCTCTCCCTCCTCTCAACTCTACACTTCTCTTTGCCAACATACACCACTACTGCTTTAGTGATTTTTTTTTTTTTAAGCCCACAGCCCTTTCTGGCTCTTTTCCACCTTTAACACTCTTATGTCGAAATCCTCTTTTTCCTCCTTTCTCTTTGGTAAGACCTCAGACTTTTTAAAATGCTGGGCTTGATTGTTTATTCTGCATGGTCCACTTCTGCCTTCCTTCCTCTTCTATTACCCTTTTCTTATTCTAGACTTTAAACTCAGTTACGCTTGCCTTCACCAAAACCTTAACCTTTCCTATGATTAGAAAAAGATGCATATGTTTCCATTATTTTTCCCGCAAGAAAACACATTCTCAAATTCATATGCACTTCAAACTCTCCTCCCAACATTTTGCATCCAGAAGCATAATGTGGCAATTATTGTGAAGTCCACTGAATGACCATTGAAGCTTGGTGTTATGCCAGGCACTGTATAGTGAATTTCATAATGCTGGTGCCAGATTTCTGAATTATTACAGACAACAGATGATAGGCTAGGCACAGTGGTTCAGGCCTGTAATCCCAACACTTTGGGAGGCAAAGGCAGGAAGATTGCTTGAGGCCAGGAGTTCGAGACCAGCCTGGCTAACATGGTGAAATTCTGTCTCTAAAATTACAAAAGTTAGCTGGGCATGGTGGCACGTGCCTGTAATCCCAGCTACTCTGGAGGCTGGGATGGGAGAATCGCTGGAACCTGGGAGGCAGAGGTTGCAGTGAGCCGAGATTGTGCCACTGTACTTCAGGCTGGGTGACAGAGTGAGATCCTGTCTCCAAAAAAAAAAAGAGGAAGAATTCTTTGATATGCAATTGCTTCTCCACTTTCCCTTCCCTCTCATGATCTCTGCTCAGTAAAACCAAGGTGCATTTTCTGGACCCATCTATCTTGGGGGTGATTAGTAGTAAAGGGTTGTAAATACTTGTAATTTTTTTTCCTTTCTAATATAATTCTTGACCTCCTTCTAGAAGCCCTGTCATCTTATCTTTGCTGGAGAATTTTTAAGCTTTTTTTTTTTTTTTTTTTTTTGAGACAGAGTCTTGCTCTGTTGCCCAGGCTGGAGTGCAGTGACATGATCTCAACTCACTGCAACCTCCGCCTCCTGGGTTCAGTGATTCTTCTGCCTCAGCCTCCAGAGTAGCTGGTATTACAGGCGAGAGCCAGCACGCCTGGCTAATTATTTGTATTTTTAGTAGAGATGGGGTTTCACCATATTGGCCAGGCTGGTCTCGAACTCCTGACCTCGTGATCCACCCACCTCGGCCTCCCAAAGTTCTGGGATTACAGGCATGAGCCACCGCACCCAACCCAAGCATTCTTTTGCAGAAGAATCTCTAATGTCCTTTTTTCATCCAGATCTACACTTGATGAATCCTAAAGCTACTTCTGCACAGTTCCTTTATCCATTTTTTTTTTGTTTTTCTTTTCCATTTTTTGTGCCTGTGTTATTTTTCATGGGTTTATTATCTCTTTACAAATGGGCCGCATCCACTGAGGGGCAGCATTGATTTCCCACTGCTGTCACCCAGTGCCTCAGCGTCCCTTGATCCCTTTTTTCGTTCACTCTTGCTGGCCATACTTACTTCCCTTTATTGTCTGTTCTAATCTTTTCCTTACCTATCTCTTTAATGAAATTCATTATTTTAAAAAAGATTTCTGGGGTCTCAAAAGTTTTTCAGGAGACCTCACATAAGTTGTTGCATTGTGAGCTAAAACTGTGTAGCATTGATTTCCCCCCAGATTGGGGCTGATGGTGGGGGGGTTGAGACAGCAGAATATCCTCATGTACAGAGTTTCTCTGCTGTGACACTGTTAACATTTTGGAGGATAATCCTTTGCGTGGTGGGGGGGGCTGTTCTGTGTATTGTAGGATGCTTAGCAACTTCTCAATAGATGCCAATGATATCATCTCAGTTGTGACAATCAAAATGTCTCCAAATTCTTCCAAATGTTCCTGGAAGACAAAATCTACCCTCTACCCCAGTGTCGAGAATTACTGTGCTGGAATATCAGCTTTTTGAAATTGATTAAATGGTTATACTTTCTCTTCCCAATTTCTGATTTGTTTGCTCAGCTGGAGATTTAGAAGTGTGGTCTTTGACTTACTTGGTCAGTGTAGCCTCTTAAAATTTCAGGTTCCTGAGCTTATCCTTATGCTGAATCAGAAACACTGAAGGTGGAAGTCAGAGATTGGATTTTTACAAGACACTACCCTCCCACCCCCCACCAGGTAATTCTTCTGCCCTAGGTTTGACCCTCCTATGGCATAACTGTGCATTATCCACATTTTTTTTTCCTGCAAGTCTTCCTGGTTCTCCAGCTTTGCTTCCGCTCTTGACCCCATGATGCCAACACAAATAAGGAGGCCTTAGGTTACCAAGACAACTGGAGCACAGGAAACCGTAAAGGCTCAGTGCTCCCACAGGCATCACAGACTGTGGCTGTGCTGACTTGCTTTCTCCTTAGGGACTCAGCCATACTTCCTTTTCCCCATCCCCCAAACTACCCAGACTGGCAGATACTGAGGCCCAAGCCACAAACCCTGATTTCACAGATCTGGTAGTAGATTTCTGGGGTAGGTAGAATAGGAATTGGTGAATGAAGCTTTTCTTCTAGCATTGATATTTCATGTCATCTTGGTGATAATTGAATTTGTAATCATGAGAACTACATTTCCCTGGGAGTTGGTTGGTAGATGCAAGCTTTGGAATCAGGATGCTTCTCTTTATGTTATTTATACCTGCTTCACTGGACCTTGAGTCTTAGATGTTTTTGCATCCCTAGCTAAATGTGTTTACAATTTGCGTTGGGCCAAAACATTTAGCACTCTACTTCTGGAACACTGGAAGCAGCTAATGTTTAGCAAGAAAAGAATATTTTTAGGGCCAGGTGCTGTAATCCCAAAATGCCAGCACTTTGGGAGCATGAGGCAGGTGGATTGCTTGAGTTCAGGAATTCAAGACCAGCCTGGTAATTCAAGACAAAACCCTGTCTCTACAAAAAAAAAAAAAAAAAAGAAAATACAGACATTAGCCAGGCCTGGTGATGTACTCCTGTAGTTTCAGCTATTTGGGAGGCTCAGGCAAGAGAGTCACTTGAGCGAGAGAGTCTCAGCTACTTGGGAGGCTCAGGCGAGAGAGGTCAAGGCTGCAGTGAGTCATGATTGTGCCTGGGTGACAGAGCAAGACGACCCTGTCTCAAAAAAATAAAAAATAAAAATTTACCAAATAATGAATTTGGGTTCTATTTATACTTATATCAAAGCTAGTCATTTTTTAAAGGAGGATCATCTGGCTTGATTAATTCTCTTTAAAGCCATGAATAAATGAAAACCTACTTGCACTTAGATGCTTAAAAATATTGACTCGGGCTGGGCATGGTGGCCCACACCTGTAATCCTAGCACTTCATGAGGCCAAGGCTGGCAGGTCACTTGAGGTCAGGAGTTTGAAATCAGTCTGGCCAACATGGTGAAACCCCGTTTCTACCAAAAATACAAAAAATTAACCGGGCATGGTGGCACATCCCTGTAATCCCAGCTGAGGCAGGAGAATCGCTTGAAGCTGGGAGATGGTGGTTGCAGTGAGATTCTTTAAAAAAAAAAAAAAAATTGACTTGATCCAAAATAGGAGCAGGCTGCCTCCATGGGACATTTGTGCCAGGCCAGAACAAGGGAGAATAACGGGAAATAAGGCAGATGTGATAGCTCCCTTTAGACAGTTGAAGGACTCTCAATGATGAAGGAGGGATTAGATGTACTTGGTTTAGTTCCAGAAGATAAATAACTTATTTAGTGATAGGGGAACAAATTTTGGCTTGATAAGGAAGAACTTTTGAATCATTTGAGGACCCCAAAGTGGAATTAGCTAAATTGTTAGGCAGTGAATTGTGACTGTATTGTTTATGTAGAGCTTAGATGAACGTTTGCACAAGGTTTGGATGAAGTTTTAGACATTAAATTGGGTTCAGTCTGCAAGGAAAAGCAGGCAGATTTAGGAAGAGTCAATTTACCCTTCTGTCATGTGATTCTGTGGCACTATTAAATTCATTATTTTTTTTCTAGGCACCTCTGTCAATTTTACCCTCTCAAGTAATTGATAATAGAGTTGATAGTAAAGTCTTTAGAGATTTCTCAAACGTTGTATCTTATCCCTCTGGAGATTTCTCAAGGATGCCTCAGAAGTGGCTGAGAATGGTGAAATGAAGGCCATCTGGGGCTCTGAGCCCTTTACCTATGCTCCAACCAGAACAATCTTGCTTTTATTTATTTTACAAATTAAATGTAATGGCTTCCTTGAAGATTTTCTTTTTAACAGAAGAAAAATGGTTCCGCTGTAAAAAAAAAAATTAAAGGCTCTGATATTTTAAGGTCTTCCTTTTATTGACGGGAAAACTGAGATACAGAAGAAGTGTCTTGCCAAAGGTCACACAGTTAGTAAAGTTCAGAGTTGGGATTCACATCTAGCTCTTCTAGTTCAAATTGTTTTTCTTCCACTCTACAAGTCTGCCTTGTTAGAATTCAGTAAAAGCTTCTCTCCATTCTACTGGCCACCACTGTAATCCAGAATCTCATTTCTTCTAATCTTCTATTCTGTATTAGCCACTTACCTAGTCTCCTTGCTGTCTAATTCTGTTCTATATTATATATGCTCTTGCCATTTTATTCTTCTTGGAATATTGTTTTCATTCTGAGATTTCCCTATTTAAGAACCTTCTCCCTATCTCTTATAAGAACTTTTCAGCCTGGCCTTATGTTAGCATTCTTTAGAATCCTCCTTGTTCAGCTGAATGAGCCTAAATCCATCCTATTATGAGTAATTAATGAGCTATATAATAGTGAGATTAACTGAGTCCCTCCCTATTCCTAGACTTCACCTTTGGCAGGATTTTCATATATACAGTTTTAATCAGGCATGACGAGAAGATACAAAAGAAATAGAAAATTGCAGTCCATAAAAAGCAAGTTACATAGTAATATGAATAATATAATCCTATTTATATCTCACATGTATTTTTTAAAACAAGAATGAGATGTATAGAAATTGTGTGGAAGAAAACACATCAGGCTGGGCTCAGTGGCTCATGCCTGTAATCCCAGCACTTTGGGAGGCTGAGGCAGCAGATTACCTGAGGTCAGTTCAAGACTAGCCTGGCCAACATGGTGAAACCCCGCCTCCACTAAAAATACAAAAATTAGTTAGGTGTGGTGTCATATACCTGTAATCCCAGCTGCTTCGGGGGCTGAGGCAGGAGAATCGCTTGAACCTGGGAGGTGGAAATTGCAGTGAGTCGAGATTATGCCACTGCACTCCAGTCTGGGCAACAGAGTGAGACTCTGTCTCAAAGAGATTGAGAAAGGATGAGGGGAGGAAAGGGGACTTCCACCTCCTTTTTTTACTCAGAAGACTGAGCAGACTGTTTGAGACCAGAAGGTCGAGGCTGCAGTAAGCCGTGATCATGCCACCGCACTCAGCCTGGTTGGCAGAGTGAGACCCTGTTTCAAAAAAAAAGTGGAGAACACAGTTTTTTTTCCCACAGTGGAGACCTTTTGAAGTATTAACCTTCTGGAAAAAGGTTAATTTCAAGTCTTATAGCTTGATCTGATTTTTAAAAATTTGATGTAAGCTAATCATGAGAAGTGTGCAGATTCACACTCTTTAACTCCTGTGGATTGAAAAACAAATTATCTAACTTCCATTTCCACTGGTCAGAGAACTCATTCTTCTGGTATGTTTCAGAAGGCTGATGGAGCAAGGATAACCTTATATTACCAATGGACTGCTTAATCTCTATAATGATTTGTTGGCCAGCTACTACTATTGATAACAAAAATACTTTTTTTTAATTTTTGAGTTGGAGTCTCACTTTGTTGCCCAGGCTGGAGTGCAGTGGTGTGATCTCACTGCAACCTCCGCTCCCCAGGTACAAGCAATTCTCCTGCCTCAGGCTCCCTAGTAGCTGGGATTACAGACATGCGTCACCATACCAATAATTTTTGTATTTTTAGTAGAGACAAGGTTTCACCATGTTGGTCACGCTGGTCTTGAACTCCTGACCTCGTGATCCACCCTCCTTGGCCTCCCAAAGTGCTGGGATTACAGGTGTGAGCCACTGCGCTGGCCAAAAAATACTTTAACTGTTTCAAGATACTTTTTTGTTAACTTTATTGAAATATAACTTATATACAAGAAGATGTATCCATTTAAAATGTACAATTCAGTGAGTTTTAACATATGTATATATCTGTATAATAATCTCCCAATCAGGATAAAGAACATCTCTGTCACCAACCTGCTCCACCCCCAGATTTTCTTATTACCGTTTGCATTTACTCTCCCCTCATTGCAATCCACACTGATCTGGTTTCTATCACTGTAGATTTGTTTTGTAGAGTTTCATGTAAATGCAGTCACAGGGTATGTATTCTGCATTTGGCTTCTTTAACTCAGCACACTGTTTTTGATATTTATTCATTTTTTTGTGTATATTAATAGTTTGGCCAGGCACAGTGGCTCACACCTGTAATCCCAGCACTTTGGGATCCTGAGGTGGGCAGATCATGGGAAGTCAGGAGTTTGAGACCAGCCTGGCCAACGTGGTGAAACCCTGTCTTGACTAAAAATACAAAAATTAGTTGGGCATGGTGGTGCTCGCCTGTAGTCCCAGCTACTCAAGAGGCTGAGGCAGGAGAATCTCTTGAACCCAGGAGACGGAGGTTGCAATGAGCAACCACTGTACTCCAGCCTGGTGACAGAATGAGACTTCATGGCAAACAAACAAAAAAAAAATTTGTTCTTTTTTTATTGCTGGGCAATAATTCATTGTATGGACATACAGCAATTTGTTTACCCATTCATCTGATGATGGACATTTGGGCTGTTTTCCACTTTTTTGGAAGCTGCTATGAACATTCACATTGAAGTCTTTGTGGACATGTTTGCATTTTTCTAAGATAAATACCTAGGAGTGAAACTTAGGTCTGTTGTAAGTGAATGTTTTACTTGATAAAGAAAAAACTACCAGTTGGGTGCAGTGGCTCATGCCTGTAATCCCAGCAGTTTGGGAGGCTGAGGCACGCAGATTGCTTGAGTCCAGGAGTTTGAGACCAGCTTGGACAACATGGCAAAACCATCTGTAAAAAAAATTAGCTGTGTGTGGTAGCTGAGGTGGAAGGATCATCTGAGTCTAGGAGGCAGAGGTTGCAGTGAACCATGATCTTGCTGTTGCACTCCAGCCTGGGCAACAGAGCATGACCCTGTCTCAAAAAAAAAAAAAAAAGTTCCTAATTTATTTATTTATTTAAGATGGGGTTTCACCATGATGGCCAGGCTGGTCTTGAACTCCTGACCTCAGGTGATCCACCAACCTCGGCCTCCCAAAGTACTAGGATTACAGGCGTGAGCCACCGCGCCTAGCCTTTTATTAATAAAATAATTTTTAATTTTTTTAAAAAAAGAAAGTGCCATACTGTATTCCAAGTGTCTGTACAACTTTCCACTTACCAGCATTATGTGAGAGTTCTAGTTGCTTTGCATCCTCATCAGCACTATTGTCAGTTTCCTAAAAAACAAACAAACAAAAAAACACCCTAGTAAGTGTGTAGTGGTGTCTCACTGTGGTTTTAATTTGCATTTTCCTCATGATTAATGACATTGAGCATCGTTTTGTGTGCTTATTTGTCACCAGTGTCTCATATTTGGTGAAATCTATTCAAATTATTTGCCCATTTAAAAAACTGGAATGTTTGGCTTCTTGTTACTGAGTTTTAAGGGTTACTTGTATATTCTGGATACAAGTCCTTTATGAGTACATGAATTAAAAATACTTTCCCCCAGTTGGTGGCTTGCCTTTTTGTTTTCTTTATATTGTCTTTTGAGGAGCGTAAGTTTTAAATTTTGGTGAAGTCAAATTTTTTGCTTTTTTCTTTATGGCCAGTATTTTTTGTATCCTGCGCAAGAAATCTTTCCTTACACCAAGGCCACAAAGGTTTTTTCCTACATTTTCTTCTGTATCTAAAAGTTTTGTAATTTGAGCTTTACATTTAGGTCTTTTATGTTTATGATCCATTTTGATCACATGCTCAATTTTGTTCTCACTGCACAAAAAAACACAGTAGGAAAGGAAGAATCTGGAATAGAGATGACTGCCTCTCTCAAAAGACAGATTGTATAATAGAAATATTAAACTTTTGTTCTGTGCATTATCTTCATCTAATATTTATTAAGTAATAACTATTCAGTAGTAAACTATATATAAATTACCTAATGTGAGTCAGGCACTGACATATACTAGACAATGCTCTTGTTCCCTTGGAGTTTATATTCGAGTGGGAGAAATTGTGTTTTTATTATAGTGAGCATCCATCCTTTATATGGTAGTCAAGAAAAATGTCATTGCCATTGCCTCTATCTGTGATTTCCCAAATCCTCAGTTGAAGGAAGCATTTTAGGTTGTTGGTAATCTTCTTAATACTATTGTATGATAAAGCATGAACCTGTTTCCACAAAGAGTTACTGATCTGCAGAGAAAAGGGAATCTTGGGCTGCATACAGCCACCTACAATGTGTGATGTGGTAGAGCAGTACTGAATGCACAGTCTTATCAAATGATCTCATGTTCCTGTCACTACTGAGGTGTAATGACCAGAGTTAATGATCTTCTCCGGGTTTAAGCAAATTGGTTTGTTTTTGTTTTTGAGACGGAGTTTTGCTCTTTTTACCCAGGCTGGAGTGCAATGGCACGATCTCCGCTCACCACAACCTCCGCCTCCTGGGTTCAGGCAATTCTCCTGCCTCAGCCTCCTGAGTAGCTGGAATTACAGGCACGCACCACCATGTCCAGCTAATTTTTTGTATTTTCAGTAGAGATGGGGTTTCACCATGTTGACCAGGATGGTCTCGATCTCTTGACCTTGTGATCCACCCGCCTCGGCCTCCCAAAGTGCTGGGATTACAGGCGTGAGCCACCGTGCCCGGCCCAAGTTAAGGGATTGTTACATTAGTCCAGGTGAAGGATGATGGTGGTTTGAACTGCATAGGGTAGAGGTAGTAGAGAAGATAGATTTGGGGCATATTTTGGAGGTATGTCCAGCAAGGCTTAGATGTGGAGAGTAGTGAGGAAGATGGAGAATTCAAGGATAACCAAGGTTTTTGGTTGAACACCTATGTGGATGATAGTGTCCTTTGCTGAGTAAGAGAACACTGGAATGGGAAAATATTTTGGAGGAAAATCATGTGTCTGGTTTGGATGTTGAGTTTGAAGTTCTTGCAAGACCATCCAGTGAAGAGATCCTGTGGGCAGTTGGGTATATGATTTGAAACCTGATAGAAATGGACTAGCAATTCATTCTTGGCATATAGAAATTCGTTATTGGAGCAGTGGGCATAGGTATTACTGCAGAGAGAGAGAGAATTGAGTGGAAAAACAAATCTAAAATATATCCCTGAGGATCATTAATCAACCCAAGGGCAAGCAGAGAAGGAAGAGTCGGTAAGAGACTGAGAAAGAGCTGCCAGGTTGGAAAAAACCTGGACAGTATGGTGTCATGGAGGGTATACCACTGCAGTCAGCTGTAGGGGAGTGTCAGAGTGTTTGACTGGACTTCTGGAGATGCTCAAGTTACCTACAATATTTGATGGAGTGGGTAGGCTACAGAGGATCAGAGGAGCACACCTGGAACTCCCAGTCTCCTGTAAGTATCTCCCTAATAAACACATCATCCTTCTGCCTGTCAAATTGGAAGAAAACCTGAACTCCAGGAAGTAGCAGGGGTTCAGAGGAAAGAGAAGGTGCTCACACAGGTTATACCTTTAACCTGGTGAGGTCTGGAAGGATCAGAGTAAATTTTAGTCTCTGGATCTGAAGCATCCCATACATTTTGTTGCCCTCTTACCACTTCTAGAAGTTGACCTTACTTTTTTTCCTCTGTCTTTGCCTCTTATCTTTGCCCCTCTGATTCTCTAGCCTGGTTGATTCTCCTTGGCTCTTGAGCTTGGTTTAGTTTGTGTAGCACTCCTTTTCTGAGGAGTAACTTCCATAACAAATATTTGCAGTAACTCCTCTGCTTGGCTGGCAAGTCCCAGAACCTTTGTCCTTATGTACTGCCCTAAAAAGCAGTCACCCCCGAGCACAGCTCAGCTTTATAGGCCTAGATATGATTAGATGCTTCCTTTACCCCTTCTGGAGGTGTTAGTGGCTCTGAGCTTAGAAGTTCTGTTCTCCTTAACCATCTCCTTCTCTTGTTTTGCTTGTCCGAAACGTATTTATTAGCTAGATGTTGAGGTTAATAGTTCTACCCTTCAGTGAAGATTGATGAAAAATTAGCCCAAAATTGCAGTTTTCTAATTTAAAAAATCTATAATCTCTATGTTCTGTGAGTTGGGTCTGAGGGATGCCTCTAGCTCTTAGCTTTTAATTTCAGGACTGAATTTAACATACCCTGGGTTTAAGTGGTGGCTTGTAATTTCTATATAGGAGAAGCTTAAGGGGGGAAATCTGATTGGAAGAGAAGGGAGGTAGTTAGGTTTGCCTTAAAGCTGAGTACACAAGAGTAATCTTATCAGTTGGCTGGGACTGACTGCCAGAAAAATTAAAAAACAAAGATGTGGTTGATAAAAAATGTGTACTTTGTTCATGTAAGTGATTTTTAAAAATGTAGACTCTGAGACCTTTTTTTCCCACCTTCCGTTGGCCAATTATTGCATTTACATAGTTTCTTCCTTCCTTCCCCAAATAAGGTATAACACCATTAACCTGAGAATTTTAAACACATGCTTTGCTCACTTTTTTTCTGTTTATGTATTATTTTTATTTGGATTATTTTGGGGGGAGGGGAGGCAGGAGTTGCCATTTGTGCCAATGACTCTTCCTCAAATCTTCCAAGCAATCTTTTCCTTGGGGAGTTGTACTACAAAATTCTAATAATTACTGTTGTGCAATATCGAGATACCTTACATATGTAGCAACAATGGCACATATGCTCACACCCAGTGAAACAAGGTCATTTTCTACTGGCAATAATATGCATTGAGGTGACAGGTGATGGTATGGTTATGGATTAACTCACCAAGGAAATGAGTCTGGAAAGAAGAATGCAGAAATCTGAGGACTAGAGCCTGGAGGGGGGAAGCTTTGAGTTAAGAGGAAGAAGAGGACTTCACCATGGGGAGCCATCAGCTGGACATTGAGATGGAAGGATGACTATGAGTATGAGCTATTACAGAAGCCATGGTAAGAGTAGTAAGTAGATGACATTAACATCAAATGTGACTGATGTGTAACTGGAGCAACTTACTGTCATATGCGAACTAACAACTCTACTGTGTTCTTCTTAATCTAGATAATTTGTAAAAATTTTACACTAGACTATTCAGTTCTATTCAACAAGTATTTTTTGAGCTGCACACTAACTGTGGTGGGGTTGTATAAAAGCTCTAAAGTTGTGTTTTAAAATAATATGTCTTTATAAACAAATATGCTGGCAATTTATACATAAAACTCTCAAACTTTACTGGTATATTTGTTAAGTGGAGACTATAGACCTATTTCAGTGACATTTACAAAAACTCCTTTGGTATTCTTTTATCCTTGTTGTACCTTAAAAAGAAAACCCATATATAACTTCTATTGTTACAAAAGTAATACATAATTATTGAAAAATACAACTGGGCATGGTGGCTTATGGCTGTAATCCCAGCACTGTGGGAGGCTGAGGTGGGAGGATCACTTGAGCCCAGGAGTTCAAGACCAGCCTGGGCAACATGGTGAGACCTTGTCTCTACAAAAAAATAAAAAAACAAATAGCCAGACTTGGTGGTGAGTACCTATTGCTTGGGAGGCTGAGGCAGGAGGATTGCTTGAGCCCAGGAGGTTGAGGCTGCAGTGAGCCGAGACTGCACTGCTGCACTCCAGCCTGGGTGACAGATGGAGACCCTGTCTTAAGAAGAAAGAAAAGAAAAGAAAATGTATATATAAATTATAACACATACTATCCCTAAAGAGACAGTCAATCTTAACATTTTGATTTTTACTGTTCCAGGTTTCTTTCTTTCTTTTTTTTTTTTTTTTTGAGATAGAGGCTTGCTCTGTCAACCTAGGCTGGAATCCAGTGGTGCTATCTCAGCTCACTGCAACCTCCACCTCCTGGATTCAAGCGATTCTCCTGCTTCAGCCTCCCAAGTAGCTGGGACTACAGGCTCACACCACCACACCTGGCTAATTTTTGTGTTTTTAGTAGAGACGGGGTTTCACCATGTTGGCCAGGCTGGTCTTGAACTCCCAACCTCAGGTGATCCACCCATCTCAGCCTCCCAAAATGCTGGGATTACAGGCGTGAGCCACTGTGCCCAGTCCCAGTTTTCTTTTAAAAAAAATTTTATTTAATTTTAAAAAATCTTTTCCGCTGAACAGCCTGTGGGGAGATATATATATATATCAGATAAACTATAAACTTAAATCTAATTTTCAGCTTGGCTAGATTTAGTTTAGACTTTTTCATTCTTTTTTTGTTTTTTTTTTTGAGGCGGAGTCTCGCTCTGTCACCCAGGCTGGAGTGCAGTGGCATGATCTTGGCTCATTGCAACCTCCGCCTCCTGGGTTCTTGCAATTCTACTGCCTCAGCCTCCTGAGTAGCTGGGACTACAAGCGCACGCCGCCGCACCCGGCTAATTTTTTGTATTTTAGTAGAGATGGGATTTCACTGTGTTGCCTAGGCTGATCTCGAACTCCTGAGCTCAGGCAATCCACCCGCCTCAGCCTCCCAAAGTGCTGGGATTACAGAAGTGAGCCACCGCGCTGGCTTTTAATTTTTAAAATAAATAAAAGAGATGGGGTCTTGATTTGTTGCCCAGGCTGGTCTCAGACTCTTGGGCTCAAGTAAATCCTCCTGCCTTGGACTCCCAATGTTGGAGTTGCAGGTGTGAGCCACCACACCTGGCCCATATTGTGATTGTTAAAGATCTTTCTTTGGCTGAGCACAGTGGCTCATGTCTGTAAATCCCAGAATTTTGGGAGGCTGAGGTGGGTGGATCACCTGAGGTCGGAAGTTTGAGACCATCCTCTTCAACATGGAGAAACCCCGTCTCTACTAAAAATACAAAATTAGCTGGGGATGGTGGCAAATGCCTGTAATCCCAGCTACTCAGGAGGCTGAGGCAGGAGAATCACTTGAACCCAGGAGGCAGAGGTTGCAGTGAACTGAGATTGCGCCATTGCACTCCAGCCTGGGCAACAAGAGTCTAAAAAGCAAAAACAAAACAAAGCAAAAAGATCGTTTTTATAGATGAAAATATAGTCTATTGTTATTTTAATTTTATAGCCACTTTAAAAATTTTGTATATTGGTGGAAAAACTATTATTTGATGCTAAATTTTATTAAAACAGTCAAAAATTATTCTAAATTGGTTGAATGAAGTGAATGGTTAATCTAGGTTATCCTGGTTTGGGTTGAATGTTCATGTGACTCTGAAGGTGTCATACCCCAGTTCTACCACTCCTGGGCCCTCAGGAGACTCAGCTTCAGCACCTTGCTCCCTCAAGACAGCAAACGCCTCCCTCCCTGAGAGTTTGTGCTCAGCTCTGGTCCAGGAAGGCTGCATAGGCCCTTTGCTGGATGACCCAGTAGGCGGACTAAGTGTGCCTTTAGGGGCCCAGCAAAGCAGTGTTACCAAACAGATTTGGGGGAAAGGATATTGATGTGTTTTTTAAAACATGGAAGTAGTTATTATGGGAAAATCTGAATTTATTTTATTTTTATTTCTTTTTTGGAGGAGGGGAGTACCATAATCTTTTCAGTGTTTTGAGTTTTTATATAGGTCAATTCCCTTCTTTGACTCATCCCAAATTTTGGTGGGGGGGCTTCAGTCATGTCCTTGTCTTTGTCAGTAGCCCCCTCCCCATATTGTCCTGAGGATTGGGAGGCAGGAAATTTATAATGCCCTTTTCTCTCTCTATTCTCCAAATTCATTTTCTTTCCTGTGTCCCTTTGGGAGAAAAGGGAAATCAATTCTGTCTCTTCCCTCCTCTATATTACTCCATCTGGACAAACTCAACACTGATAGCAGTGAACCTTGAACTTGGCAGTTTTGGAGCCAGGGTCTTTGCCCTCAGTGCGGTAGATTCATTTTTTTGTTGTTGTTTAGCTGCCAGATTTAGGGTCCAAACAGGAAAACAGAACTCACTCTAAGCATTTAAGCCAGAGGGCATTTAATCCGGAGAATTAGTTGGCTGTGAATTTGGTGGAAGAGCAGAGAAGCCTTTCAAGGGAAGGTGAGGCAATGAGAGGGAAGTTTAGCAACTGTAGGAACCTTCTATCATCCCTAGGCTGTGGGAAGAAGGGAAAGTGCAAGGGCCAGGGTAACTTAGAAGCTGGAACTCTGGTGACCTGTTCTAGGGCAGCTGGGGCCAAAGAGTGCCTGCCCAGATGCTGGCTCAAGCTGGGAAAGAAGGAGAAGGATAGTCTGGCTTTTCTCTTCCAGTTTTCTGCCAGTGCTTCCCGAACTGAGCTCAGCAGGAAGCCATCTGCAGAGGGAACGGGAAGGAGCACCACCATTTACGACTTCACACACGGTTCCACATAAACTTGCTTTTGTCTTTTCTTAGTTAATATACTTCTTAAGCATATTGAACTAAGTTGAACAGTTTCTCTTTTTTGGTCATATATCACTGATTAGCTCTTCTTATTAGACTTTTCAATGAAAAGATGAAAAATTTGAAAACCTGTGCACAATGTAAAAACAAGCAAACTCTTAAAAAAAATTATTTGTTTTACTCTTCCAGAATATGGTCCCAAACTGCTGATGGTGGGATGTAGTTCAATTTTAGATCTGACATGACAGACCCCTAATAATTACCATTATAATTGACATTTATATAATGTTTTACAATATATAAGATGGTTTTACATTTATTGTTACTGCAAATAGATTTTAATCTGGGGATCTTGGGGCCTGTTTATTTGACGTCTAACAGGTTAGCTCAAGGTCTAGATTTGAAAGAAAAAAAATTAGTGTTCTTTTCTTGTTTTCCTCTGAATCACAGATGATAGGCAAACTTCTTTGACCTTTTTGTTAGACAGGTTACACTCAGTAGTTGGTGGGAGGTGTTCTCAGCTGTCACTGGTGGGAGAGGCTGGCATCACATTTCTACTCTGCTTTTCTTCTTGGTGACCTAGGTGTTTAGGACAATGACTGACTCATCTGTTCATGTGGAACCTTTGCAGTCATATAGATCTTGCCTGTTGTTTTTAGCCTATTCTCCTTCTTTTTCTTTTTCTTTTTTTTTGAGACAGAGTTTTTCTGTCACCTAGGCTGGAGTGCAGTGGTACGACCTCCGCTCACTGCAACCTCTGCTTCCTACATTCAGTCGATTCTCCTGCCCTCAGCATCCTGAGTAGCTGGGATTACAGGCATGGGCCACCGCACCTAGCTAATTTTTGTATTTTTAGTAGAGAAGGGGTTTCATTATGTTGGCCAGGCTGGTCTTGAACTCCTGACCTCAGGTGATCTACCTGCCTCAGCCTCCCAAAGTGTTGGAATTATAGGCGTGAGCCACTGCATCTGGCCCTTTAATCTCATCTAAATAACTATTTTATTTGTTTATTTTCAAAGTATCATTCTTGCCCCTCAAGGAAGAGTCTAAGCCCTACAGTTCATCTTGTCTAGTATTTGTTCAAGATTTGCTTTGTGGAAAATCAAAATAATTGAATTATTGAGTTTATTCTTGGGCCAGAGATACCTCAACCAATCTTAGCTTTGTTTTTTGACATTATACATGAAATTATGTAAATCATGTTTTATGGAGGGGAGAGTTTTGAACTTCTTTTTTTTTTTTTTTTACTTTTATGATTTTATTGACTTTTTTTCTCTTCATAACTTTAAAACAAAAACAGCACATGAAAACCAGTGTCTTATCCCAAAGTCTCAACTGAGCTGATTGACAGATGAACATCACCATCTTACTCCACTGAATAACTAAACACAAATAACAGCAAGTTCGAGTTTCTGCCCACCCGAAGACACAGCCAGTAATCAGCCACAGACACAGACACAGTCAACCCCAGGGGCTCCAGCTCTCTGCCCATCTTCTCTCAGCTGTTCCTCCCATCTACTAAATGGGCCTTCCTGACGGCTTTCTCAAGGTGGGTCAAGCCTGAACTAGAGGAAAGCACAGGCCAGGTCCACCATCCCCTCCCACTGGCCACCAGCTGGCCAGCCAGGAAATCATTTCTCTACATCTTTTGTCTCCCCCCTTTTATCTCCCTCTCTTCTCCAAAAATTGTTGCTATCACTTGGATGTAACAATGGACTTAGTGTCCATTAAACTGCCTGAGAAGTGGTTTGAACCTGATGTATTTTCCTGAGCTAAAAAAAGAAAAAGTACCTCTGTGGCCTTCTTGCCATTAAAATCAAGTAAAAAAAGGGACAAACACTATTGAGAAGGGTCACATTAGAAAGGCCTTAGAATCCTCGCTCGACCCTTAACGGTTTCTCTAGCTGTAGCTCTTGAGGGTATAAGGGAGCAAATATTCTGGGGTCAAGCATGGGGGAAACATTTATTTTCCCCTTTTAAACTTCCCTGCTGCCCCAGTTTTTGCCTTCTTCTTAGTAGATCCCTTGGGTTCTGGCTCCTTGCGCTTAGCTGAAGAGAGCGAGCTCGTCACCTTGAAGAAATCATCCAGGCGGCCCTGCGTGCTGCCTTGGCGGCTCTTGCTCAGCCTCTTGACCCCGCTGCGGATTCACTCCTCAGAGAACTGCTTTTCGCCACACATGAACTTGACCAGCTCTTCTTCATTTGGCTCGCTCCACTTCAGCTCCACAGACTCTGGGTCCAGCACCTCAGGTTCCAAGAAGAGCTGGTGAGCCTTCTTGTGGAGCCAATTTTCTGGCACAGGGTACTTGTTGGGGTCAAGTCGCCGCACTATCTCCTCAATGCTCTTGTGCTTCTGGATGAGGTCCACAGCCCGCTTGGGCCCAATGCCCCGGATACTCTCACAGTAGTCACTGCCCAGCAAGATGCACAGATCCACAAACTGTTCCTGGTTCAGGCCCAGCTCCTGCAGAATCCGGCTCAAGTGGAATTCCTGGATGGGCAGCTTTTTGGATTCACTGGCAGTCAGGTGTCGCATTAGCACAGGGCTGCCAAAGGTGAGGCAGTCCATGTCCTCGGTAGCCGCAGCATAGACCTTGCCAGCCTTCACCAGGGCAGCACAGCTGGCCTCTGCCTCGCTGGGTGCATCGAGATAAGGGATGCCCATGAGGCTCAGCAGATGCTTGCACTCATCGTTGTGCTGCTTATTGACCTTCACCAGCCGCTTAGTGAATTTTTCCACCTCCTGCTTGGCCCCAGCAGCCTGAGCCTGCTGCAGCTGCTTCTCTGCCTCAGCCCGCCGTTCACTGCGTTTGGCCAGCTCGCCTGACTTGAGCTGTGGTGGCTTCCCGTCAAAGACATACACGGGCTTGATGCCGTTCTCCATCATGTGGATAGTGCGGTAAAACATGCCCATCAGGTGGCTGGTGGTCTTACCCTCCTCGTTCTGCAGCACATCCCCACCCTGGCGAACAGCAATCAGGAACTGATAAATGCTCATAGAGGCATCAATGGCCACCTTACGGCCAAAGTAGCTCTTGATGTCATTCTCCCGGATGGCACTGGGGGCCACGTCAGCAATTAGTTTGGCCAGGCCTTGAATTCCCATGGCAATACAGAGGAGGGATGACTGGCCTTTGGGACATGAGGCCTTGGTGGCTAGAGCTTGGTCGGAGTTACCAAGTGCCAGCGGTGCTAAGCCCGCTTTCCTTGCTCAGTTTAGCCACGGGTCTCTGTACTTCTTTCTTTCTCTCTCTCTCTCTCTCTCTTTTTCTTTTCTTGTAGAGATGGGGTCTCGCTATGTTGACCAGGCTGGTCTTGAACTTTGGCCTCAAACAATCCTCCCATCTTGGCCTCCCAAAGTGCTAGGATTATAGGTGTGAGCCAATGCACCCGGCCTGGTATTGTTTCTTGTAAGATGTCCTAGTTCTAAGTCTTCTTCTTCAGACCTACCGATCTTGTATTATACTTTCTGTAATACTTTATCTTTTGGTTTCAAATGACAGGCTTTTAGAAAAGCCTTCTTAGCTCTGATGTTACCATTCTGCCGTTTGGTGTTTTTAATCTCCTTGCTGTAGCTATGAGGGATTCACCATGTGTGTTTATCTATTAAAGGAAATCCCATCTTTCCCTTTGAGGTCCCATTGCCTTCCTTTAAAACATGCAAGATA